GAGCCACTCACAGCGCTTGAGACTACAAGGCTCCTAGGCTCCTGGTTGCTGTGATTGGTGGTGTCCAATCGAGCCGTGATCAATCGGAATCACCCCGACTCAGATCCACCATCCCTTTGTAGTGGCGTGGAAGGGAGGAAGAGAAAAGGGAAAAGGCAAGGGAAAGGAAGGGAGAGGGGCGTGTAAAGAAGTGTGGGATGAGGAAGGTAGGATGGTATTTAGAGAATTGTTGGGGGGGGAGTGGAATGGAGGGAGGGGAAGGGAATGGAGTGTATGGAGAAAATCGGAGGAAGAATAAGGGAGGTGTTGGGAAATATAGAAAAGGGGAGAGAGAAAGAAAAGAAGGGAAGGGTTTGGTGGGATACGGAGTGTAGAGAGAAAAGGAGGAAGTGAGAGAAGGATGTTCAGGGAGTAGAGGAAAGGTAAAGGGGGGGGGGGGTATGGAGTACAGGAAAGAAAAAAGGAGTATAAGCAACTATGTGAGGCGAAGAAAAAAGAAGGAAAGATAAGTAGAGGGAGCGAGAAGCGAAAGGCAGATGCGGGAAATAGTAAACGGGGAAAGGAAGAGATGGAAAGGGATAAATAAGGGGATAGGGATGAGGGAGTGGGAAGATTATTTCAAAGATTTGTTAGGGGGGGTAGAGGGGAGAGTAGTAAGGGGAAAGGGGAAGGAAGGGGATGGAAAGGGAGTTAAGTAGATAGGAGATAAGAAAGGTGACCAGAAATTTAATGGATGGCAAGGCAATGGAGGTGGATGGGATTCCGAACGAGGTATGGAAGTATGGCGGGGAGGAGATGGAGGAATGGGTGGAAGGCATGTAATGAGGTATGGAAAGGGGGGGGGGATGGCCAGAGGAATGGAAGGAGGGAGTGGTAGTTCCAGTAAGGAAAAAGGGACAAGGGGAGGAAGTAAAAGATTTTAGAGGGGTTTCAATAATGCCGACGCTATACAGGGTGGACCATCTGAAGTGATCCAGTCAAATATCTCGAAAACTAGTAGGGATAGAGAAAAATGTTTCGTATGAAAAGTTTAGGGTTACACGGGGGAAGTATGGTACTGACCTTGAAAAATCCTTGGAAGGTCATTTTGAAGGTCATTCAGGGGTCACGATGGTTTTTTTAAATGGAACCCCTAGTTTTT